GCCACCTTTATAAGGACTCGGATTCTTCCCTCTTGGTCCTTAATCCTCTAATATCCGGATTCTGGATTCACTCCCAACTAGGTTACCTCACAAATTAGATTTTATCTCAGATTGGATCCTGTAATGGGTCAGGTCCAGAAGTTGTGATCCATTCATCTTATTCCTACTTGACCGAGCTATTGGTAATCTTTTTTTTTAGCTTATCTTCATTCTCTGGATCGCATTTCCACATTTCTGTGTATACATTGGAAAAGATCTAACGTTTTCATTCTCGACAGAATGTTGTATTCTGTACATGTTATTCATACATATATGAAGTTAAAAACACATGACATCAAATTTTAATTACAATATCGACATCTTTAAGATAAAAATCGTTTATTTAATATTGTATACAACACAAAAACAGTATTTTTGAGACGTTAAGATCTTATGAAATCCATCTTTTTAAATATCTATCTGCATATTATTTTCATATAATAGTATCTTAAGATTTGAGTGCAACTTACCAAATCAATGTAATGATTAATAATTTGACTTTCAGAAAATTGGGTCAATGATACTACGTTTGCAAAAATATAATAATTGCTTATATGATACCTTTGTAAGAATCTAAATATCTTTTACAAGTAAAATATCTTAGATGTGGAGCTTGTAAACAAATTTTTTATGTAAATGTTTTGCTGAAATACTTTCCTAGAGCTTCTTAAAGCCCCGAAATTCCTTACACCCAACTAGAGGATATTTCGATAAAGCCTGATTGTTTTTCGTCGAAAACATCAAGCGTTATCTAGCACATCTAAAAAAAATATATCTTGATATATATATCATATATAGTTCTACTGCACCTGCTGCCCGAATGTATGCATTAAAGTGTGCTTGATTAAAAGTTACGTTATGTGACAGCCATATAGCTATAAATATACTCAACCTTACAGAAAGATAAGCGCAATCGTATTAGTAAAACTTCTCATTATAATGTTTCATCCTGTTTATAATTCAAAACCTTGTTCTAATACGGTATATATAGAATGATGATAGACTACATAATTTTGAAAGTTCAAGTAAATAGGAAAGATTTTATTTTTCATATATCGACCTGGTCAGCTTGTATAAAGTCATACATAATTTCAAGCCTCAACGACGTTTAAAGTTATACGGCCGTAAAATTTTTTAATATGTTGGTGAAATTAGCTAGCTATTATTATCTTTTACAAAAACACTTTATCATTACGATCGAGCTTAAAACGTTGTACCGAACGAAATGTCGGCAACGATAAAGATAAACTTGAGGTGATGTACATTGACGATGTGTACAACTCGCCAGGCCCGTTTTGGCCCTAGCCGAAGGCTCTTCAAAAACTTGTCAATACAAATGTGGTAACTACTTACCCTGTATTTTCGTAGATCCCCATACAGCACATTGAGTCTGCAAAACATGCATGAATCCATAGCGAAAATTAAATATCGAAAGTTGATCTACATACACCTTGTACACCTTCCAGGAATGTGGTAGAAAATGCTTGGATATAGCGTCAAAGATCTCCTAAAGCCGCGCACCAGAAGCTTTAAAGGAGTGTAGATATCATTTTATATATGAGACATACATGCTTGTCAGTGCTGAAGATAAAAAATGGTTCATATTATCGACAAATCTAGCTTTTGTGGTTGAGATGTCCGCTGTAGACTTACCCGTTTTTCATATTGAAGAAGCGTGTGCTTTATTACGACTACTTTGATGGTAATCGCCGATTTTTAGTTACAATTAATAAATTCGAATTGAATTTTCCTCGCGAAAATAGATCTATGCCTAAAAGTTTAAATTAGTGTGGCGTTGTGACGTTCGATAATATAGAAAGAACAAAATAGGTGTCTCATTGGCATACTTACTCTATGCTCCTGTGAATAAGGGTGACAGCGCGTAATAAGGCACTGCTCTCACTTTGAACTTTGTCGTCTTTTAAAATTTCAAAAGGTTGTTTGTCTCACACGTACATTATAATGATGTACGATAAGCGTACTCTACTATGGCGCAAATACGTATTGAATAATTTCACGCACCCTTATGAAATTAAAACGATTAAATATAAAGATTTTGGAAACACATACAGGCTTGCATGTCAATATTGTAACAAAAATTACAAAGACACTTTGTAAATTTGACACTCATCTATACTTACATATAGTGATCCAGCTCATCTTTCATCTCGTGCATTTTATATGTATTAGACGCCATAATAATCAATACATTGAAATATATCAGACACATAGTACAAGTAATGACCTTTTGTAATGTATTAATAAAAAGGTTTTTTGAGCATACAATTTTATATACTCCATTTCTTTTTATTGTATGCATGTATTAGGATCACCCAGTCATAGCTTAGTATTTTCACAAATGCTTCGAATAATCAGTTTCATCTGCTTTAACGTATATACAATCAATCCTTTTTGCTGCAATATATATTTTAGTGTAACATTTTAGCACACATTAATATTTTTTACAATAAAATCAATAAAAATATCGTTTATTGCACACATTAAAAATCATGAATATATCGCATGAAGAAGCAACAAATACCGAAAGTTTCTAAGAATTATTTGCCCGTTGATGCAAAATATTCGGTTGATCCAGCAGAATTAAAAATACTGATGGCAGCTTGTGCATTAACCTTTATTTCTAAATGGGGAATTCAAATAATCTGCCTTTAGATTTACGCCATTTTTTATTTGACAAGAAAATGATCTGCTGATATTTCTAATTTACGCATTGAACTATCAAAATTTATTTGTAAATAGATGCAAACGATCTAAACTGCACCGCATAACACTCATTTTCCACTTACGGAATGTGTCGCTGTATTTCTGCCCTTTATTATTATTTTAGACAAAATGGTACAGCATCGTGTCAAAATTATTGAGCTTACTTAATACCATAAAATATATATGAAAGGTACGACCTTAAGGAGCATTAGTTTGGCAAAATTTACCAACACAAGTAAATAAGTTACTACAGAACTGACCAAGTTATGATACGTCGATTGCTCAAAGGCATGCTATAACTTGTAACAATATATATAGCAAGACAAATTGCTGGACGAGAAGATTAAGTATGTGCACTGTCCACAAGGTAGAAGACGTAACCATCGTTTTTGCATCATAACGAAACAAAGTTTTGCCAGCATTTCATATGTTTCTTTACCATATTTGATGGCAGAGCTCCTACCTGTCGATGCTGACATTCTTTGGTCCTGTTGTCTACTGTGGATTTATACATGTAAATCCGACAGCTTGAATTGGTATAATTGGTAAGGTACTGCTAATTCAATATAATATTATACTGTATAGCATCCGCGATAGGTATAACGAATTTTAAGTCAATTTTAAGATTGTTGAACAAATACAAGGCGCAATAGTATGCTATCCTACGCGCTATCAAAAGATAAACCAAAGATTTTGTTTGGAAGTGGAAAAGCTTCATTGCGACCTGATAGGATTTTAATACGATTAAAATCGTTGCGGCGAAAAATTTGACTCTTATACAATATCGGGCTGCTAAAGGTCTAAAGCTGTATCATATAAAAAATGAAACGAACACCCTAAATAATTGTCAAGTACGATGTTCTTTTTTATAAATAAAGACGACACTTCCATGTTTATATTTATTATGACCCGATCTTGTCTCAATGATTATGTAAACGTGCCTACGTGCTCCATAGTATTGTGTGTATGGTGATGGCATTGTTTCTTTTCTTTACATCATATTAAATATAATTCTTCTTGTCTTGTAATGCGGAAATTTCATCATAATTAGTTCCGCATTTACATTTACTGACGGCACGTCTAATACATAGTCTCATCATTATGTTTGCCTTCACAACTTTTGAATGACCCAGTAAGGTACAATATGATGGATTTGTTTTTTACTCTTGACCTAACCTGAACTTTTAACACTCAGTCAGTTTAAAAGGTCTATAATGCACGAAATGCATAGCATACGATGAAGCATAACTATCGTACAAAATAACAAGATAATGAACGACAACAAGTATAAGGGGGTAGCTCGTAACACGAAATTTCCATTTGTGAGAAATGGTACTATAGAATATTATGTTAAATTTTAGTTTAACAATATCACCATCGCAGCAAAATTGTTGAGATGACCCAAAGGTCTACCCATTGGTTGGTATTGTGATAACATTAACCCTTTAACGCTGCTAGACGCGTGCAATAGGAGGTGAGGAGAACCCATCATACTTTTAGTTATATGGATTAAATAAGGTCAGCTCAAACAGAAAATAAGAGTTATAGTGTAACAAGGCAGCCCGTTACATGAAATTTTTATTTGAGAGATAATGACAATAAAGGATATTATGTTGAATATTCTTTAAACAATATCACCAATAGTGGTGATATTGATCGCTCGACCAATGAGTCCTCTCATTGGTTGATATCTTGACGATAATAACCCACCAACCCCCGCAAGACGCGCGCAATGAGTGGTGACTAGACGTCGTCATACATTCAGTTAGATTAGTATAATTAAGTTAAGTCAAACAGAGAGACAGTGGTTAAAGACTTAATTATATTAATATAACAGTTCCACTTTTCCCTAAGACAGTGTTGCCTCTGTCGTACCTACCGCTTCCTCGGTTGCCTCGTGTACGCTTGTCGATGCACGATACCCTTGCGTTAGGTTCACGCAAGGGTGTGCCCCGTTACATTTAAACTTAATTGTATTCAATGAGTTTTACTTTTTCTATCACTAGAGTCCTGCTTCGTTTGTTATATTCTTCCTCTGTTGATTGCTTTCACCTAGCAAGGCACTGACCTTCACTGTTGTCAGTGAAAATCAACTTTGTCTCAATGTCAAGTCGAAGTAAGCAGTGCCCCGTTACAATACCTGCTCAAAAAATTTTTAGTACGTATATTAGGTAAAAAAAAAGTCAATTTCACATTGGCGCAGCGAGCTGACTGATACAACCCGATAGGAGAATGAATTAGGCTCGTTCAAATTTCACTAGGTAATCCGTACCGTGGCGAGACGCGAATCGTTCAACAAGAGTAGCGTATGCTGTGGTCCCATGTAGCACTGATGCTAGAAACCAATTGCGAACCGACTTCATGTGCTCGGTAATTAGATCGGGAAACCGCTCATTAAGCAATTTGTTTTCGACCATGGTAGCCACTGACTTAGTCTTGTCGTCTGCCCTTGCGATCTCAACCGCGATCACCGCATCGTAGAGTGGCAATGTTCGAAGGTCAGCGACGATATGATCGACGGCGGCATCGTCGGAGTTTGAGCGGACCTCTTTCATGTTGGTGAAAGACGAGAAAAGCTTACGAGACTTTTCTTCTAAATACGAGAATTTCACCGCACTCGATTTTTTGAAGATGTTCACGTTAACTCGCGGTACATGTTGTAGCGGTACATCTTCTCGAATCCGAGCCGAGATTTTAGGGATGGCAATCGCGTCTGAAGACTTCTTGAGCAGAGCGGATTCCACCGCGTCCACATATCCTTCCACCCCTGGAAACTTTCTGGCAGCCAATAGCACAAGCGATGATTGGGACGAGTGTAATTGGGCCAGCAGATTTACGATGTGGTCAAAATGCTCTTTACTTGGCGCCTTCATCTCGTGATGCGAAAACAGGTTGTATGCCATCCATATGAGGCCCTCTGCCTCTCTGCGTGGAATTTCGATCGCATGTGGATTCACAATGCCTCGAGCAAACGGAGCAGGATGGTAGGCCGAGCTCGCAGGAATTCTCGACATCAAGAAGGGAACATCGGCTGCTGGAAGCAATTGCTCGATGACGTGTGAGACGCGAACTGTATTCCATATTGGCTCGATGACACACCAGGCGATGTCAAAAGTGGCGAACAGCGTGCCACTAATGAAGAGCGCACGAGGATGAAAAAGCTTCATAACGTGGACGGAAACGGGCAAGCAAACACGGTTAAGAATCCGATAAGCGACCTCGGTCAGATGACAACCTTGCAGCAGGGCCCAAAACGATGAATGAAGCAGCTTTTGGTGATCTAGCGCGGCCAGGGGACACAATACGCTTCAGCTGCAGAACGATAAATGATTGTTAGCGATGCTTCTTATCAGCGCTGCCTAGAGCGGACAACATATGCTGAAGTTGCAGGATGTTTAATGCTCGTCTTCGGACAAAAGTCATGCGACGGTCGGACGAGTTGGCGTAAGGATGTACTGGTCCAATCGTTACACCGGATACTAGCCTGGTCGGAAAGTAATGGTGGTCGATGCTGACATGTTGCGACAACCTGTGCGATGGCTGCTTACGTGCACTTGATTGGTTTAAAACGCTGTCGAGAACGGCTATGTCGGTTCGCGCCATAAAGTCAATTGCTCATAAACAATCAAGCTACATTGCACACTCTCTGTAAGCACTTGTCGATACATTCAAGATTACGGCTAGTGCCGGCCGTCAGAAAAAGGCACAAGGTCGTGCACGTTTCGTGATGTCAAACACACTCAAGGAATAATTCATTGCTCAACAAGCGCCGCCGTCTAGCCTCATCTGGCAGCCAAAAGTATAATAGACCATGCACGGATAGAGACATGAGCAACACAGTGACGTATAAGTTCATCAGATATTAATGCAGCGCGCCAAATTTTTGATAAATGATCGGGAAAAGACACACATCGCTGTCGATAGGATCTGTTGCACTAATGCAACCCGCAAAACTACTAAATTTGAAGCGCAGGCAACGTTAAGACGTGCGGTCTGCAATTGACGCGTCTTTGTCACATTCAATCGAGCAGTCTGATCAACGAATACACGCTCTTTCCACGAAGCGGATCTTTGATGAACGCGAGAGGTAGCGCCAGTGATAAAGCAAGCATAAATGAATCAGCGTTATACATACTACTAAGACATTGCAGTTGTAGAAGGGATGCCAGATATCTTATGGCAAGACAAACAATTAATGAGTGTACAGGAATAATGTAGGCTCGCGCCCGATTCACGCCGGGAGATCGACGAAGTGACGTTTCTTTAGGTGCACTTTGGTTGCGCACGCAACTCTCATTGTAGGGTGATAGCGCAGCCGTGACTTGTACAGAGCTTGCGCCACCACGGCTGACTCTGATTAAGACCGGACCAGACAACTTTCTAGAAGTGACACCGCGTCGAGGTCAGACCAGTTGTTTCCCTCACTTATACCCGTAATGGTACCGGTGAAGCATATGCTTTCACAGCTGTCGCGAATAGACCCAGAGGAGCGAGTTTATGTCAAATTAGTATTATCAACTGGAAAAGATTACAATATTGTCGAGCAGCCTAATTAATAGTGTCGTTTACGTATGTTATAGGAATTGATATATGCTGGTGTAAAATGTGTACCCACATCGGCTTTATAAGACACCGGCACACTGCAATTGCGCATCCGAGTACAATAATGTCAACATACCGCAGTTGGTGATGGTGAAATATTCAGTGGGCGCTCAAAAATTTGTATAAAGTGACCGTCAGCATTTTCAAAGGACGACAGGTACGTATTGGAACCGCTATTCTGGTACAAAATATAGGAAAATCTGACAGAACATTCTAGCTTGTTTCTTTCAGCCCTAATAATTAATCTGCATGCATCTGATAGGTTATAAAAGCGCAAATTTTCCTTTCCATCTTCTTCACCCTTCTAGGTACGAGCATCCGGAATGTTCTATACCCAACAAATACAGGATCGTACCCTTGCAGATAAAAGTTCACTGACTTGTGACAAGGTCCGGCTTTGGTATGCAAACAAGAAATAGTCAGACTTGTGACCATTTCTGGCCTGACACGCAATGAAGATGATAGCCGAAGTTGTGTTGTCTGCTTTTTTGACATATTACCATCGCTTCGGGTCATACGCAGCCATCCAGACTCGCATTCCTTGTGTTCCTTTCAATCTGATATGCTATCGATGTGCCCGAAGCCAGGTCGACTCGAATGCTGCAACAGGCGTACATATACACGGTAAAGCTGACGTTGTCCTCCTAATGATACTCAGTGTGTGTGCAATTTTGAATATGATTTACGTAGCCAAATTGGCAATGCCGAAGTCGAGTGATCCGATCGTAGTGCGTTCCTTGCTACAAGATGTAGCCTTTATAGGTACGATATAGACGCCCTCGACGATGTGTTGTGGCATATCGTACCGCATTGTACCAGCCGCGTTATCCGTCCACCCTCGGCGATGTGTTGTGGCATATCATACCGCAGTGTACCATCCGCGTTTTCTATACACCTTCAGATTATGTCATTCGACACTTCCTTGTAGGTAACGCGGCAGTTGCTGAAGCTCGCTACGCTGGGCATCTTTCTCTAGCGTCATTAGTTGTACCAAACCAAGACCAACCATCGACAAGTCACAGCATTTTCAAGGATGAAGAAAGCTAGGAAAGGGTTATCTCCCATACCGACACGATAATCCATTCGTAAATGCATACATTGCGCAGCCAACTATATGTGTCTGTGCACTGAAATGTTTAAGATGTGGATATCAGCTATTGAAGAGGACGATTGTGAGACGTAGAATAGCGATAAGCCTAGATGGACACATCTCAGTCTAAATCACCCTTTTTACGATCGTCTTCTTCTTACAACGGAAATGATTACCATTTGTCAGCTTGATACTTACGTACTCGTACGCAACTTTGGCGAATTTTCCAACAAGCCGCCGGGATGCTACTTGTAACGAGGTAGCCCGTTACATGATATTGTCACTAACGATAAAATGACAATAAAGAATACTACGTTGAATATTCTTTCACCAATATCACAGAGCATGACGATATTGTTGAAGATGACCGAAGGGTCTACTCATTGGTCGATATCGCGATGATGTCAACCCACCAATCGCTGCTAGACGCGCGCAATGGGTGGTGAGTAGACGTCATCATACAAATAGTAACATTAGTATAATTAAGTTCGGACAAACAGAGATACAAGAGTTATAAAACTTAATTATATTAATAACAGTTTTACTTTTTCTACGACTAGAGTCTTTCACCTTAGTCGTTCTACCTTCCTCTGTGGAGTTCTACGACTAGCTGGGCACTGACTATCACTACAGTCACTTATAGTAAACTCCGTACTGGTTGACCAGTACGTAGTCGTCGGTGCCCCGTTACACTACTAGTCTTTTTCTCGTCTACTTGCAATGTGCATTCATGATACGATGTCCATGTGCGGACACATCTAAAAATAAAGTGCCGCTGGAAATCTGCTGATCTTTGACACATGAGGTGGCTGACTAATACAACTAAAATACGGTCACTGCCGACAATGTCACGCTGTGCACCAAGATCGCGAATCACGCTTGAACGCGCCACGAGGTCGAGACCTTCTCAAAAGGTTTATTTGGTTTATCTACAAGGCGAAAACGCTGTACAAGATCTTAGGAAAGCATTGATCCAGAATAAACGAGCCGAAAGACCGGTTGCATATCACATCTTATCACCGAACAAAAGAATGATTTTTGTAGTTGCCTTTTGCCAGTTCAATGTAATATAAAATAGCGATACTTGTAACGGACGATTTTTCTCTGACTTTCTCTCCGCAATTGCACGAAGATGACGTAGGCATGAAGTTCAAATTTAACACTTGTGTTGTATGTCTCGATTGTGTCTACTCTGATGGCTAATTTATTTGTCAGTACAAGGTCGAAATGCATCATTTTGTATCGAATCCAAGCAAAATTCTTTGCTAGAATGTATTTAATGTGTATTATGCATCCGTTCTTGCCCAGCCTCTTCGCATAAGCTTGTTCGAGTGACTCTACATCATTATCTTGCTTGTATGAGGCGCCTAACGATTGTTTTTTCACTGTCGAACATCATGGTGAATCGGCCGGCAATGTTGTCCCGCTGTCCTGAAGAATAGGCGCAGTCCCAAATTTATATTAACATGGCTTTTACGCGAAATTCGCCAGGCTACGTTTTCTACAACGCCGACTTTGGTCCACACATCATCATAACTAGAAGTTGCGGTGTCGCACCCAGGTAGCCTAATTTAGCTTGTCACGCTGTAAGGCCATTCTTCTGGTCCCAATCTTGCCTCGAAGTTTTTCCGCGCGCCGTGGCCACTATCACTTGCCTTTTCCGTCATTGCAAAGCAAACTATAAGATCTGTTAGATTCTAGGCGTGTGTAACTTCGTGCGCTGGTTAGTTAGGTTTTTAGTACCATCGTGACGAAGCAATTGAACGTTTAACAAAATAATGATCATGGAAATGGATGTGGTCGCGTAGTACGCTGCGATACGAGTCATGAGGTCGAGACGCGTTGCCGATTGCGATATGGTATTGAGCCCTGGTAATTAGGTATATAATGTAGTTAGGTGAGCCTGTCACATGTCATGCTACAAATTGTGTGAAAGTAAATAATACTCAAATTGATGATTTCACCTACTACTATTGCATGTCAGCATCAATGTAGATATTACCTCAAAAGGTCATGTTTGGCACTACCTCACATTTGATAGATATAGGTGATGATTTCAATCAAATGAAACGATTAATCTTTGCTAGGCACGCGCGGTGAGTAGTAAGTGAGATTCTACATTAGTATTATATAGTTTAAGCATAGTTTGAGAAAAACGAAGAATGTACGCTTTCATGAGAGGGGCTAACCCAATGTAGTAAAGTTCTACTTTTCTCTACTTCTGTTTACATATGCCTCGCTCCTACACGGTTCGGGACCATATGAACGATTTCCCTGAACCTCAGATACAGTCACTTGATTGGCTGTAATATTATTGTTGAT